CTAGTATAATGCTGACTAAAACTGGTGAGCGTAGACTTCCTTGTCTTGTTTCTGATCCTTAGGGGGATAGCTTTCAGTCTTTCATCATTATGATGTTTATCTGTTGGTTTTTCATGGATACCCTTTATCAGAGTAAGGAAGTTCCCTTCTATTTCTGGGCGTTAAATGTTTTTTGTTTTTTATCATGAAAGAATGTTGGATTTTGTCAAATGCTTTTTCTGCATCTGAGACGATCATGTGGTTCTTGCCCTTTATTCTATTAATGTGGCATATCACGTTGATCGGTTTTCGTAAGTTGAACCAAGCCTGCCTTCCTGGGATAAGTCCCACCGTGTCATGGTGTATAGTCCTTTTTACTTGTTGCTGGATTCAGTTTGGTATTCTGTTGAGAATTTTTGTATCTATATTCATAAAGAGTGAATTTCTTTCCATGTGATGTCTTTGGTGTTGATATCAGGGTAATGACTGATGTTCTTTCAGTTTTTGGAAGAGTTTGTGAACAATTGGTGTTACTTCTTCCTTAAATGTCTTCGTTCTTGTGAGATATTTGCTTTCGTACTAAATTCTTATTTGTAATTTTGTATGCTTCTACTCAAAGAGGGTCCCCAAATTGTATGTTTCAGCCCCCACAAACCTGTGACCTCTACCAGAGTCTACTGTATTGTGTATGGACCTTGGGTTGTTTCTGATTTGGGAATCTTGTGAACAGTTGCTGTGAATATTCTTGTACATCTCCTGATGCACACGCAGATGCTTTTGATGCCAGCAGGCTAGGTCCAGGAACCAGCCAAGAGGGTCCCTAGCTGTGTGCAGGATACAAATCAAATGCAAGCCCGCAGGAGGTGAAAGCAGAATTCACTGTAGAGAGAGAGTGTAGGTATAGACAAAGTGTCTGGGAGATCTCAGTAAGGAAAGGAGAGAGAGTCTCCCCTTTGCTTAGGATCTGGGGTTTTTATTGAGGATTGAGGTCTGGAGTATGTGTCCTCTCAGGCATCCAGGAACCAGGTAGAACAAAGGGCCCAGGTGTTCTTAGTGTTGAGATGTCTATCATTGGTGGTCTGGAATACACATATGATAGCTTCCTCCGGTCATTTTCATCTGGCCTTTCCTTAGCTGTTATCTATTCTAAAGAAATCATCAACTCTTTGTTCCCTTCCAAGGAGGACATATGCTTTTTGCATTTCAAGGCATAAAGTGGGTGTGCATGATTTCATCTTGAGATCTTTAACTAATTACATCTGCAAGACCCGCTTTCCAAATTAGGACACATTCTAAGGTTCCAGGGAGGCACCAATTTTGGGGATATGCCATTCAAGTCACTAAATTACAATATATATTATTTTGTGCTGACTGCTTTTGTTCAACATTATATTTTATTTTTTAAAGTAATCTTGATACCCAATGTGGGGCTCGAACTCATGATCCTGAGATCAAGAGTCGCATGCTCTACTGATTGAGCCAGCCAGGTACCCCAACATTATATTTTCAAGACTGACCCATATCATTTTTTAATAAATGTTTATTTTTGAGAGAGAGAGAGAGAGAGCGAGCAGGGGGAGGGGCAAAGAGACAGGGGGACAGAGGATCTGAAGCTGGATCTGTGCTGACAGCAGAGAGTCCAGTGCGGGGCTCAAACTCATAATAGCAGGAAAAGAAGATTTTTATGGAGCCCTTTAGCTTCCAGTCTCATTCTTACTGAGGGTGTCTGCTGGAGTGAAATAGCTGGGCCAGTGAGGAATGCCAAACTGACGTCCTGAACTATTGTCAACTTACATTCCCACTAACATTGTACAACAGTTCCCATAGGTCCACATCCTCACCAACACTTGGTATTGTCAGATTTAAAAATTTTATCCATCATAATGGGTGTGTGGCAAGGTCTTATCACGGTTTTAATTTATATTAGATTAAACCATATGAAATGACCATTTTGTCAGTCAAAATGGTCAAACACAAACAATGTCATGATTCAGCCAAGTTCCTCTGATGACTGACGAAGTAGGGCATGTTTTCATATATTTAACGGCCATTTAGATTCCCTCATTTATGAAGTGCCTATTTAAGTAATTTGCCCATTCTTTTAGACGTCTCACTTTTCTTATTGACTGTAGGTCTTATATACTCTGAATATGAGCTCTATGTCAATTACATGTGTTACAAACAACCTTTCTAATCCTTTTAGAGAGGTCTTAATTTCCAAGAGGCCAAATATGTCAATACTTTCCTCTATGTTTAGTGTTCTTTGTATCCTACTTAAATCTTCTCCTAACCAAGGTCATATTCTCCTCTAATATTTTCTAAAAGCTTTATGATCTTGCCATCTACATTTAGATTCAAATCTATTTGTAATTGATTTTGCGTGTTGTGGGAGGTAGGGCTCCAACTTAATTTTTCCATATGGATATCCAATTTCCATAGCACAATTTATTGAAAAGATCATCTCAATTGCCCCTTTCCTCATAAATCAAGTAACAGCTATTCACTTGTCTTTATTGGTTCCATTGGTCAGTCGACCCTTGAAACAATAATATACTCTCTTAATCACTACAGTTTTGCAATCAGCTTTAACTGATAAGGTGATTGTCTTCTTCAAGTGTGTTAGCAATTTCCATATATATTATAGAATCAATTTGTCAACTTCCACGAAATAAGAAAAGCAGGGAGGAGCAAACCTGTTAACATTGTTATCAGGATTGCACTGAATCTATCAATTTGGGGGATAACCAGTATTTTAAAAATATTTTCACATCCACAAATAACACCTATCTTGCAAATTATTTGGACCTCCTTTCATATAATTCTTTTCTGTAGAAATCATGCATACTTTTTAAAAAAATATTTTTATTTATTTTTGAGAGAGAGACAGAGCACAAGTGGGGGAGGGACAGAGAGAGAGGGGGAGACACAGAATCTAAAGTGGGCTCCAGGCTCTGAGCTGTCAGCACGGAGCCTGATGCAGGGCTTGAACCCACGAACTGTGAGACCATGACCTGAGCCGAAGTCGGATGCTTAACTGACTGAGCCACCCAGGGACCCCCATGCTCACTTTTTATATTTATTCATAGGTACTTGATTATTGCGCTTTGTAGAAGTTCTAAAATTTTCATTTTCAAACTATTTGTTGCTGGCCTAAAGAAATAATTTCTGTATATTGATTTTTCAGCCAGCTACCTTGATAAACTCTCTTATTAATTCAAATAAATAATATAGCTTTTGAATTTTCTATGTAACAAATCATATCAAAAGGAACTTTACTCCTCCCCTTTCAGTGTTTCCTTTATCCTTTGTCTTCACCATATCACCCAAACTAAGGACTAACAGTATAGTGTTAACTAAAAATGGAAAACCAAGCATCCTTGTCTTATTCTCCCTCTCCAAGGAATACTGTTTAGGCTCTCCCAGCAGCAGACCTGAGACCAGGATCCAAGTGCAAGGAGTTTATTTGGAAGGTGGAGGTAAACACTGGCAGGGGCGTGGAGGTGTGAGACAAGGAAGGGAGGGTGGACGATAAAGGCGTGTGTTATCAAACTTCATTCTGGAGCTTGGTTCTGCTGCAGAGTCCCATGCTACCCATGTCCAAGTGATCTCCCAGGATGTGAGGGAGCTGGAGTTTTCTTCTAGCCTTGGCCTTCTGGTTGGAGCTGTTCTGGGGTGGGGACAATTCATTCCCTGGCACTTCCAAAGTCATGAATGGAAAACTGTAGTCGAGCAGCAAAAGCCAGCCCCCAGGCAAAGAAGTGTAGCTGTGAGCAGTTGGAAGTTGGAACAAGTCTACTGAAGTGATCAAAGTGACGGACAGAGGGGGGGTGCTAACGGTGTCTTCTACCAACGCCTTCCGTGTTTTACTATGACAAACAGCACTGGCAGTCCCCATAGGAGAGCAGCAGCTGCCTAAGTCCAGAACACGTCCTCCAAAAACCACCCAGTTCATCCAAAAGAAGGAAATAAAAATACTCGTATCTCGGGGCGCCTGGGTGGCCCAGTCGGTTAAGCGTCCGACTCTTGATTCAGGTCATGATCTCAGTTTCTTGAGTACGAGCTCCATGTGGGGCTCTGCACTGACAGCACAGAACCTGCTTAGGATTCCCTCTGACCCTCCCCTGCTCACACTGTCTCTCTGAAAAAAACTTAAAAAAAAAAAAACAAACCAAACTACTTGTATTTCACGGTTACAGCATACTGAGAAAATACTAGACTTCGGTGATAAAGGGCTGCCACCTGGTCTCAGCGATTCTGAGATCCTATGATCACATCAACACCAGGGAACTCAGTTCCAAAGCAGCGTTCTACCGTCAACCCGGCCTCCAAAGGACTGGGCTCAGCCAGCGAGAGGCTTGTAATGGTGACCTGCCACATGTCAGGGTCTGTCACCAGCACACTTAGCACTAACAAATACGACTGCTGGTGCTTAGGAAAAAAACCACAAGATAGGCAAACTTAAGACAAAGAAGGAGAATGAACAAATACAAGGAAAGGAGCAGGAGGAGGAGGAGGAGGAAGAGGAAGAAGAGGAAGAAAAAGAGGAAAAAAGGAAACAGGAAAAGAGAAGAGAGATAAATGATGGAGGGAAATTACTAACTAGAGGAAAAATATTGAATAATAAGAGATTGATTATAAAAATTCATAAGAGGCTGAGCGGGGCAGGGAGGGGGACAGCCTGGGCTGCCCAGGGCAGCTCTGGGGTCCCATGCTGAGCGTGGAGCCCCCACAGCACGGAGATGGGCTCCTGGACTCTTCCGGTAATGGAAGACCATTGAGGCTGCTTCCCAGAAGGGAGGAGTAGGGATGGGAGAAGAACCTTCCAATTGTGGACCCACCTACCTGTCACCCACTTCAGGCACGGCCTTAAGGGAAAGAGATTCGAGATCAGGCCTCCAGCTCCCAGGAGCTGCGCCCCCACCCCCACCTGCCCCCTACCTCCCCCTCTGTTCTGGTTCTAGTGGTTCAAGCCAGATTCAACTCCCACCCCTCCAGCCTCCAAATGAGCACAACAGAATGCATCTGAGTGAAAAATCCACTTTAATAATCCAGCTTCAGCTCAGCTGACAACTTCTCAAGTGCAAGAGAAGTCTTTCCAAGAGGCCTCAATCCACTAAGAGGTTACGGCTCAGAGAAGGGAACAGCTCAAAGAAGCCCTAAAACGGAGAGCAACAAGGGATTTGGAATCAGTGCAGACAAGATGGGGGGGGCCCTGCTCCCGCCAACACAGGCCCAGCCAGAGACACAGGTCCTTGACCCACACATGACAACTGCCCCCGTCTTTCCATCTCTCATCCCCACTCTATCCTCTGATTATCCTCGGGAGGCTGATCGGGGCCCCTGTCTCTCAAGACGAATGGGCACCCTTCCTTTCCTACAGGGTAGCATGGAGCCCCAGCCACCAATCCAGGCACCAGAGGAGGAGCCCAGCCACCATGATGATGGATGAGGTGGGAGTCACCTTGAAGAGGGTGAGGGTCTGGAGCACTCCTGAGGTGCAGGCGGTCTCCCGGATGGAGTGCATGGCCAGCTGGGGGCTGCCTAAATCCAGTACTCGCAGCCCCAGCCGAGAAGCCAAGATAGGTCCAATGGTGGTTCCGCAGGGAGAGTCATTCCGCACCATGAGATCCTACGGAGAGGAGGACAGGTTCATGAACAACAGGTAGTGTCTGCTCATTAAGCCCAAACAGGAAGTCATCTTAGAGCTGCAGGACTGAAGGGGGCCTGGCAGAGAGCCCACTTCTGCCCCCTCAGAGAGTAGATGTGACCAGAATAAAGATAGCCTACATTAAATGGCAAGCCCAAAGGACAGTATATTCTGAATTGGTCCTACTCTCTCCATCTGAACTACTGCCACCCTAATTCCAGCCACCCTCCCTTCCATTAAGATTCCTTCCTCCACATAGCAGGCAGGGGAATTAAAAAAAACAAAATGTACCCTTTATATCAACCTCTTGCTTAGCACACACTCACTTCCTGTACCCATACACACACAAAGAACAATCACTCTGTAGTTTTAGTGTTTTTAGAAATATTGCTATTGGCATTCTGAATTTCTTTACATTCTGATAAAATTAAATTAAATAAGAAGGGGCACGTGGTCGGTTCGGTTGGTTAAACATCCGACTTTGGCTCAGGTCATGCATGATCTCATGGTTTGTGAGTTCGAGCCCCGCATCGGGCTGTCTGCTGTGAGCAGAGCCTGTTTCTGATCCTCTGTTCCCCCCTCTTCTCTCTGCCCCTTCCCTGCTCACACTTTCTCTCTCAAAAATAAACATTTAAAAAAATAAATAAGTAAATAAGAAAATCATAGTATGTTCAAAATTAAGATTTTTAGTATAAGGGAAAACAGGATTATATAATCAGGTAAATTAAGCACTATTACTTCTTACACAAGTATAGTATTTTTTTTTTCAACGTTTATTTATTTTTGGGACAGAGAGAGACAGAGCATGAACGGGGGAGGGGCAGAGAAAGAGGGAGACACAGAATCGGAAACAGGCTCCAGGCTCCGAGCCATCAGCCCAGAGCCCGACGCGGGGCTCGAACTCACGGACCGCAAGATCGTGACCTGGCTGAAGTCGGACGCTTAACCGACTGCGCCACCCAGGCGCCCCCAAGTATAGTATTAATTCACGGTTTGCAAAAAATATGTATACTTTTCTAACTATGTCTACAGAAATGACCCCAAAGCACCCCCCCCCCCCCCACTCCTCAAGAACAATGGACACTCATGGTGCCAGACAATGGTCTCTAAAACCATCATCCATGTCTGGGGAGAGAAATGAACAAGATGAGCCTGCAATTTCTTGTTATGCAAAAAGCAAGACAACTTTCGAGAGTCCTGTCAAAGGACACATGTCAACAGGGTTCCCACTGGTCAAAGTTATGATAATCCGAGGGTGAAAGTAAATGGCTACAGGGGCGCCTGGGTGGCTCGGTCGGTTAAGCGTCTGACTTCGGCTCAGGTCATGATCTCACGGTCCGTGAGTTCGAGCCCCACGTCGGGCTCTGTGCTGACTGCTCAGAGCCTGGAGCCTGTTTCAGATTCTGTGTCTCCCTCTCTCTCTGCCCCTCCCCTGTTCACGCTCTGTCTCAAAAAGAAACGTTAAAAAAAATTTGAAAAAAAAAAAAAGTAAATGGCTACAGTGCTTCGGGTCACAACGAACCAATGAAACCCTTGATTTAATGACAGAAACGGAAAAGGAAAAAAGCCCCTTATCTGTCGCCATGTAAGGTGGCTATTAACACAGCTCGCCTTGAAAACTGATTAGTAAAGGGAAAGAATTAGCATTTATCCCGTCTTTCCACCAGAAACCCTATTGCATGATAACCAAATAGCCCTGGCTGACGGGGAGAAAAGTTCTGCTTCCCAGAACAGCAGCTAATCTATGCAGAAGGGATTATGCGTAGAAAAGGGATGAATTGGGGGAATGAATTTAGTGACTTCAGCAAGGATTATTGACTGGTGTCAAAACCATCATGTGTCTGGTTGTTAGGGAATTCATCACTTGCACAGGGTACTGTCCAGCCAAAGGAGGAAAACCCCCATATGACAGAGGGGAAGGAGGGCACCCCAACGCATTGCATCACTAAGGGTGGGGCACCCAGATAACACAAGTATGATGCAACATGAGGGACCCACCAGTCATGACTTCTGGCTAAAAATGTGTCATCTGCTAAGCCTTTAGGCATGAATTCCAATCAACAGGAAATGCAGGACCTACAGGCACCAGCTAAACACCACCAAGAGGAAGCAATCAGACAAATTCAGCAAGTGGGAAATCCTGTGGGATGATGAGCCTTGTTTCTTCAACAATATTTTATTCTTTTAAGTCAATGCTATTTTAAAAGGGGGGTGGTGAGGGCTGCACTACGTTATGAGACATTTAAGCAACATATCAACCAGACATAATGCGGTCCTGAACTGGATACTAAGGTGGGACAAATGTCTGTAAAGAATATTTGGGGGAAAGGTGCCAGGGTGGCTCAATTGGTTAAGTCTCCGACTTCAGCTCAGGTCATGATCTCATGAGTTTGTGAGTCTGAGCCCTACATCGGGCTCTGCACTGACAGTGGGGAGCCTGCTTGGGATTCTCTCTCTGCCCCTCCCCCACCTGAGCTCCCTCTCTCTCTCTCAAAACAAAGAATATTTTGGGGATAACTAGGGAAAACTGAAAATGATCTGGAGGTGACTGGCTGGTTCAGTTGGTAGAGCATGTGACTCTTTATCTTGGGGTCATGAATTTATTATTTTTTTAATTAAAAATTTTTTAGTGTTTTCTTATTTATTTTTGAGAGACAGAACATGAGCGGGGGAGGGGCAGAGAGAGAGGAAGACACAGAATCCGAAGCAGGCTCCAGGCTCTGAACTGTTAGCACAGATCTTGAAGTGGGGCTCGAACCCACGAACCGTGAGATCATGACCTGAGCTGAGGTCAGACGCTTAACCGATTGAGCCACCCAGGGGCCCCTTGGGGTCGTGAATTTAAGCACACTGGGTGTAAAGCTTACTTTTTAAAAAAATGATCTGTGCATTAGATACAAATTTATTGAAACAAAAATTTACTGAAATGAAAAGGTAAACAATACGGAGTGAAGAGAAAACAAGAAATATATCCAATACAATTCCATTTTGTAAAAAAATATGTGTTAAGTATACGCATAGAAAAAAATCTGGAAGAATATACACAAATCTCTGTGGATTAACATTTTGTTTCTTTTTGTATTTCCTAATTTTCTGAACGACACATGTCCTGCTTCTGCTGTAAGTTATTAAAGAAAATTCCTCCAATGTCGTCTCACTGCCTTAGAAGAAAATGCAAACCCCCTTCCATGGCCTAGAAGGCCCTATAAAGCTGGCCTGGGCAGGCCTCTCTCCCTGCAACTCTGGCTCTCACCCCAGCTCTATCACTGGGGCTCTGTCTCTTCCTGAGAGACTAAGCTCACTCCTGTCCCCCGCCTCCCCCCAGGGCCTTTGCACTCATTCCCTTTGGCTGGGATGCTCTTCCTGCAGACTCACCCACGCCTCTTTCTGGTAGTTAAGTCCCAGCTCAAAGTGTCACCTCCTCAAAGAGGCTTCCCTAAGAGTGGAACTACTCAGGTCTACAGGGGACAGGGTGGGGCTGGGCGGCAGAGAGAGCCCTGAGCCGGGAGACAGGATGCCAGGGTCCTGAGTCACCAGGACCTGCTCACTGCTTGTCACTGGATCACCTGGGCCCCAGTCCCTTAAATCTCTGCTTCTACCTATTTCTGTCGAGATGGGCCACTGCTGAGGCGAGAATGCCGAGGCCGTTAGAGTTCCAGTCTCCCCAGCCCTGAACTTGCCTTATGGAAGCCCCCAAGGTATGTCAGAGAGACACAGGGGGCTGGATGGGAAAAAGGCAGGACTGACCCACCATGTGCCTCGAGCACTCTGTACCTTCAGTTCTGACAGAAATCCAGGAGAGGCATCGTTATCAGCCCCATTTTACAGGTGTGGAAACTGAGGCTCAGAGAAATGAGGAGACTGGCCCTCAGTGGCAGGGCCAGCCCCACAGCAGAGCCAGCACTCATCCCAGCTCCACCTACATCCAAAACCCACTCTTCTCACTCGACTGGAAGCCCATCCACTACAGGTCAGCTACCAGGCCCCCCTCCACTGGGGGCCCATCTGCTTATGTCCCCCAACCCCACTCCCTCCATCACATCTTCCCAGGCAGGGCCCGGCCTCACCTGCAGGGGCACCCCAACATTACTGGCCACCTCTCGGATCAGGGCCTCTGAAACTGCATTCGAGGCATAGCGCTGCTTGCTGTTGACCTTGATCACCGGGCCCTGGAGAGAGGGACACCAGGAAATGAGGGCGAGTCACACACGAGTGATGGGCCCAGAACCAGCCAGGCCTCCCAAGTCCTAAGGAGAAACAGGACTACCTCACCTTGTGGAATAAGGGCCGGTGGTTCTCCTCATGCTTGTCCCTGCAAGAGGCAGATTAAGGACCAGGGATGGCAAACAGGAAGTGGGCCTGGCATCACCACCACCTACCCCGTGGAAACATCACTAATGCATCCCAGCGTTCTTCCCCACCCAGCCTGGCAGGACCTAGGAGGCATGTCAGTGTTCCAGGAAGCCTCTAGCAACAGAGGGAAAGAAGTTCACAGAGTCTCTTCAACGTACCTGGGAGGGGCATCACATGACTTTGGCCAATTTGGGCCTTGGAGCAGTCAAGAGGGAGCAGTCAAGAGGAAGCCGCCACTGACCTTTCCGCCAGAAGGAGGAAGGAGGGGAAGGGGGAGGGGCTGGGGCCCAGCGTTAGGTTACCCGCGGGCCGCCAGCTGTGAGGACTACAAGCCGAGCCTGGCCTGGCGGACTCACAGGTAGTTGGGGTGCACGGCGTGGGCCATGTCTGCGCTGATCATGTAGGACTTGGGGATGGCTTCCTCGAAGGCCGTCAGGTGCTGGGATGAGGCCGAGATCCGGCGCAGCACCAGCTCTGTCAGCAGCGACTGTGCCCCCTGGGCGCTCTCGGACCCCACCTGGTGAGAGCAGAGACTGGCTCTGGGATCGGGGGCCTGAGGCAGAGGCCAAGGAGAGGGGCCCAACACCCAGACTGGCCCGGGACCCAACTGATTCAGTGGCTGAGGACTGTGGGATGTTGTCAGCAATGTCCCCAACACCGTGCCACCGAAAACCTGATGGTGGGCTGGGGCCAAACTAACCCTGAGTTGTCTCTGGGGCAGCGACAGCACTTTCTGCGGGCTTCCTACATTGCCCCCCCCCTTCTTCCTTCCCCTGACCCTCATGTCTGGGCCTCCTCGCAGATGCCCTCTCACACTGGCCAATCTTCTTTTATGCATGTAACAGAGGCGGCTAACTACCCGTGCTAGCTTGTACAACAGAACACCCAAACTGCAGCTAAGCATACAACTACTCAGGTAGAGAGGACAGTCCCAGCTTCCCCTGCAGCTAAACGTGGCCATGCCAAGTCCCATGAACACAGACAGTGAGGAACGGCACCTTTGGGTGGTGCCTTAAATGAGCGTACACTCTCCCCCTGCCCTTTCCTCTCCTCCTAACTCAGTACAGACACGATGGCAGGAGCTAGGACAGCCACCCTGGATCCTGAGATGGAAGCCGAGTGCTCAGGATGGCAGAGACCTGTCCTGAACTGCTCACTCTGACCCGTGCAATTACGTGCGAGAGAACAACCCATCTGTTCAGGCTCTGTTGCGTTGTCTAAGACTGCACCTGACACAGGCACGCAGAGTAAAGGACCCGCCATGTGCTGAGCCCTGGGACTAACAGATGAAAGGGCAGGGTCCCTGTCCTCGAGACGCTCACCATGTGGCACACACAGAGACAGGGGAGGTGTGGTCTCACTACTGAAAGCAGATATATGCTGAGCCAGGGGGACCAGGCGCTAAGAGCACAGGCAGTATCTTCCCACCTTTGTGGCTTCCGGAATAGCCCTGGCTTACGGTGGGTACCTGGCACGAGCTGGCTGCAGAAAGGTTCACAGAGGGGACCCTCCACAGAACCCTCTATGTACCTCTTCGTTGTCGTAGAGAGCAATCATGCGCACGTGGGGCTCCGCGGCCAGAGAGGCAGGAGATGCACAGGAGTCGATCAAAGCCTGTTTGGGGGGCGGGGGGGTATCAAGAGCATCCTCCTCATCCCCCCTTCTTCCATAACCCTCCCCACCAACACCTCGGAGGTTCACACTCCCCGCCTGCCTTCTGTCATCACGGCCAGAGGGAAGTGGGCTGGGGCTTTTACAGGCTTTCGCCTCTTGGGGCGCTGCCCAGCACGCGGGAGACCTTTTCAACTGGACTGGGAGAACCACCCTTTGGGTGTTCTCCTCCCCTACCTTCCTATGCAAAAGGCAGGAGGATGAATAAGCTGGAGGGGAAGAGCTGAGAATCCTGGAAAGTCAAAAGAACCACACAGAGCATGTAAACTAATTGGCCTCAGTGAAAAGATCAAGGTCCAAAGAGGTGACCAGGTGACCCGGACTCCATCGAGGTGATGCAGCTGGCTGGCTGCAGAAGCTAATACAGGTCCCAGGTCTGGCTCTGGTCTCAAGTTACAGCCCAAAGCCTGTCTCCAAGAACAGGATGGGGAGGGAGGGAGAGGTATGACAAGGGACAGGGCAAGAGGAAAGAAAGAAATAGAACTGACAGGCACCTGGGTGGCTCAGTCGTTAACCATCTGACTTTGGCTCAGGTCATGATCTCACAGTATGTGAGTTTGAGTCCCACATCGGGTGAGCACAAGTCCTGCTTCAGGGGAGCCCTGCTTCTCTCTCTCTCCCCCTGTCTCTCTCTGCCCCTCGTGGGATTCTCTTTCTCTCTCTCTGCCCCTTGCTCACTTGTGCCCTCTTTCCCTCTCTCTCTCAAAAAACAAAAAAAAAGGAAATAGAACTAGGGTGGAAAGGTGGGGACATCAAGGTGACTGGGAAGAAGACAGACTGCCCCACTGAGACCCCAAGGCACAGACAGAAGGCTGGGTGGGCCTCAGCCTGGAAGGCAGGGGGAGCAGAGGGAGGCGGAGGACATTGCCTTATGAGATGCTAAGGCCTCTCCCTTGGAGCAGAGGCTAACGCAGGGGAGAAGCAGACGGAGCAGGGCGAGGAGGAGACACCATAGTGCCCTGGCCGGCCTCTCAGCCTTCCCTCACCTCAGCCCCTGCCCATGGCCCAGCCAGCACCAGCAGACCGGGGAGGTGGCCGGCGGCCCTCTTCTGACCTGCTAGGACCTGAGGCAGTCCTCCCCACCCCCACTGCTGCTCCTCCTGGTGATGTGCTGCCTGGGGTGCCGCTGCCACTCACCTGCAGGGCACAGAAGCAGCTGTGCAGATTGTCCAGCCGAGGGGCAAAGATGAACTCCTCGTAGGCACCGCCCAGGACCTAGAAATACAGGACAGTCAGCCTGCCTTTCGACCCCTCACCCCAACTCACCTGCTTCTCCCTGCTCCCCAATGCCTGAGTGTGAGCGAGCCTCCCTGGCTCTGGGCGCGGCCCCTCCCTGCCCCCCTGGCTTAGAGCACTGTGATCTGCCGTGTAGGGCTGAGTGGACGATGGGGAACAGGGCCGGGCAGGAGCTGAGGGATGGGAGGGTGATGTCTATGGTTCCTACCAGTTCCTGTGGGACTAGAAAAGGGAGACGCTGAATGGTCACAAGACAAGCTAAGGAAATAAACAAGAGACCAGCCCGGAAACAGTGCACATTCAAACAGGCCCAAACATCCAAAGACTTCACAATCTCCTACTGTGGGCAACTCAGAGGGGCACGAGGGCAGGCTCCAGAGAAAGGGGTGGGGGGGCACAGCCAGGCCTTCTGCCCTCAGAGGTGTAGGGTCGGTATGGGTCAAAGTACAAGTGACCGCCTGCAGCAGAAACCCCTAAGGAGCGTGTGGAAGGACTGATTTCCAGGCCCCACCACAGACGTCCAGGTAGGCAGTTCTGGAGCAGGAAAGTGCCCTTTTGAGAACCACTGGCCTGGAGGCAGAGGGGCATGATGACTACCGGAAAGAACAGGGATGAGATGGGAGTAACTGGGGGACCGGCCGACGCGGTGAGTGCTTCAGGGCACACAGAGGTAGGCTAGGATCCCGGCGATCCCCACCCATGAGTTCCGGCAACCATTCCTCACCGCAGGCTGGGTGTCAGCAAGGCAGAGCTCCATCTCCAAGATATCCTCGGGGCACAGTCCCAGATGGGCACAGAGAAGGGACATGAGGACCGAGTGGTGCCGGTCATCCTGCAGGGCAAAAGGATGTTAGGAGAAGGTCTGGCTCTTCCCCTCCTCCCCCTTCTCAGAGAATCAGTCCCTGCCCTACTCCTCCCCATGAGCAGGGGACTCTCTTACCGCAGCACTGAGAGGTCCAGGCTCAGGAGTTCCCTTCTCCAGCTCCTCCTGAACGGCTGTGGCAAGAATGGGGACTCTGTGTGGAGTCACAAGAGGGAAGTGTGGGGAGGGCTGGAGGCATGGCATCCCTGAGCTCCAGCATCTCCCAGTGGGAACTGCCCTTGCCCTGATTCTCAGCTTGCTTTCCAAGTGGCAGAGCAATGAGGGACCTCAGATAGCATCAGCTGGGTCCCAACAGTAGAACCTGGCTGTGGCCACCATTAGGTAGGTAGTGGTGTCCTAGATCCCACCGGGCCCCTTCCCTCACCTGGTGCCACAGCCCTCGCACCAGACTCACAAGTGCATCTCCATGTTGGGCCCGAAGTTCTCGTTGACATTTCGCTGCAGATGGATGGCCAGGTGTGGGATGCGGAGAATGGGCCGGTCCACGTGCACCAGGCGCTGCTCCAGGCGGCCTGAGGTAGGACACTGTGGCCCACCAGGCCAGGTCAGCCCAGGGCACCTCCCAATCACCGTTGGTTAAAACCCCAGACTGACCAACATGGTCCTCAGACCAGACTGCCCCGCCACCCCTTCCCTGGGGGGCTCTCCACAGGTACCCTAAGGGAAGGTTACAGTCAATCTTCAGGCAGCTGAAGGTGAGAACCTCCCAGGTCCAACCCCAGTTCCCACCTTGACAATGACTCGTCCGGCCAAGGTCAGGTCCCGGTCAAACCAGGTGCTCCAGATCCCACCACCATAGGTCTCCACACCAACCTGCTGGAATCCCACCTGGCTGCGGCGGGACCGCCGTTTCACCTGCGTGTGAAGGTGGGGAAGTGAGAGAAGGCTGGACGACATGATGTGGAGAGGAGACAGACTGATCGAGAGCTAGTTAACACACAGCGAATACTGCTGCAGAGAAGGGCCCAAAGTGTGGAGGAAGGGGGCGACAAGTTTCAGGAATAGACTCCCCAATCTGTACCTCTCCACTTCCTTTTGACCTGTCCCCCCCACCCCCCCCCCCCCAGCCCCAGTTCCACAACCCCAGGCACGGGCCGGCCGGGTGGGCCCCAAGGAGGCAGAAACCGGTGCCCAGAACAGGGCCGCCCCCCCCAACAAAGTTTTGGGGGGGGGTGTTCGGGGGGGGGGTTTTTGGGGGGGGGGGGGGGGGGGTGAAGGGGTGCGGAGATTGAGTTGGATTAGCTAGCCAGCTGGCACAAAGGACTTTGAGCCCCAGCCTAGGAACATGCTTCTCTGCCCCCACCCCACCCCAAGTACCTTGCTCTCTGGCTTGATATCCCAGCTCTCCGTCTCTTTGAGTTCATGGAAGCCAGCCTGGAGGAGGCGGCTGCGGCACTCAGCCACAGCTATAGCGAAAGAAGGCTTTCAGAGCGATGGAAGCGGGTTAAGGGGGCACACCGGCCCCACCCTCCTCCCCTGTCCTGGTCACTTACCGTGGAAAGGAGAAGGGCTCCGGTTCACGAACTTGAGGAGTTCCCGGGCCGCGGCCTGCACCGCCTCTTTGCGGGCTCTGCCGGTCATGACCACCTAGGGGAGGGGAGGTGCTCAGACTCCTAGAGGTTTGGGACCCTAGAGTTATATCATCCAGGCCCCGGGAACCACCTCCTTCCCCAGCCCCATTCTCCCTAAGTGACCGCTGCGAGGTTCAGACCTCTGCTTCCGCCCCTTTCGCTACGGACAGACGCAGATGCCGGGCCAAACCTGTCTCAGCAGAAAGCTCCAGCCCTCCAGCCAAAGTATCACAACCCCAAGGGTGCTCCCAGCCCAGCTCCTCCCAGACGGCCCGCCCCCAATACGAGCTTTAGCCCGGCCCCCTAAATGCTACCCCCACGTGCCCGCCCACCGGGGAAATCCCGGTCGGTTCCAAGCTCTCAGCTCCCAAACGGGCCCCTAAACTCCGGGCGGGCCTGCACCAAGCAGCCAAAGCCCTATTCTCTGGGGAATACCCCCCACCCCCACCCCGTCCCCTCCACCCCCACAGTCTATAGCAGGCCACCCTTTTCCAACCCCAGGAAGACCAGGTCACGGAGGCCGGGCTTTCGGTTTCGCTTTGGGTCGGGCACGGCCCTCACCTCAGAGCGCTGCTGACCTCAGTCCCGAACGGGATCGGAGGGGATCTGAGCTGCAGCTGGGCGGGCCGGAGACACCTACCTGCATAACCCGACGCGTGGGCCGGTGTCCGCTAGCCTGGCTCCGGCTCTCTGCCCGCCCCGCCCCTCGCTAGCCCCCGCCTCCGGGCCCGCCCCTGCCGCGCCGTTTGCTCTGCCGCGCCGTTTGCTCCGCCCCGAGATAGGCCGCGCCGCCAGCCCCGCCCCGCCGTCCGCGGTGGGGGCGGGGGCCCTCTGCTGCCCGGGAGGTGCTAGAGCAGCCTCCGAGTCACACGCCTCGTCGCCTGTCCCAGGTCAGAGAATCTGAGAAAAAACTCGCCCCTGCCGGCTCACCTGGTCCGACGAGTACGGTACAAAGTGCTCTCTCTCACCGCAGGCACCCTTGTGGTAATAAAAGCAACATGGCTAGTGTTTATGGAGCGTTCACCATAAGCTTTAGCTTTCCAGTAAGGCTTAACGTGTTACCTCGTTTAATCTTCACAACTGCTTCGTCAACTTTGTACTTTTACTGTCCCCATTTTACACATGAACGAAACGAAATACGGAGGCAAGTACCCTGTCCAGGGCAGTAAATGGCAGAGGTGGGGTTTGAGCCCAATTAATTTGATTCCAGGGGCCTGGAGCAAGCTACTCTCAGATCGTTTCTCGGCCTTTTTCTATGCACCTTGGTGAGTTGTAACGTTACCCGGCAAGTCCCCTGATTGCCTAAGATCACACAACTGTTTGGATGCATCTGGAATGACTCATACCTGCACTCTTTCCACTTCTTAAGAGGACAAAATAAACTTCACATGTTCTTGGAGGCAATCCCAGTTTTCACGTCAAGAGTGGTAAGCCACAATTTAAAAAACCAAGGTGCCCACCTAGTCATAGATTCTGATCAGGACTGTTGGTGGCCCCTAGGTACAAAACAGGGCCCAGCACTCAGCGGTGTTAACACTCTAGGGATTACAGGTGAGCAAGCTGCCCTTTATATACTGGGGTAGGAATGGGCCAGGGGAGTGGTCAGAAAGGCCCCGCAGCCTTCAATTCACAGAAGTAGGTATTGCGGGGGAGTGTTCAAGAATATACAGGGGGTGGGGTAAATTCATGGCATTCCCTGTTTATTGAAATGTATAGTTTTTGTGCTGAGAGTGTCATGGAAAGAACATTCTTTTCCTCTGAGAGCCAGAGGCTGGTTAGTGGGGGACACATTCGCGGACAGTGACAAGAACTGAAACGGGTGCAATGTATAAGGGAAGGAAATTTAACAAAAAAATTTTAATGCTCTTCTGAGAACAAAAAAAAAAAAAGTACATGCTAATGTGAGAAATTGAAATAACACCAAAATGGGTAACTTAGAAAGTGAAAGTAAACATTTTGATAAATTGAACATCTATTCTTGATAAAAAAAAAAAAAAAAAAAAAAACCAAATGAAATCCTCTTAAGAAACCAGAAAGAGGGGGGGCGCCTGCGGGGCGTTGGGCGGCTGACTTCCCCTCAGGTCATGATCTCGAGGTCCGGTCAGTGGGTTCGAGCCCCGCCTCTGTCTCTAGGCTGACAGCTCAGAGCCTGGAGCCTGGTTTGGATTCTGGTATTGTGTGTCTCCTTCTCTCTCTGCCCCTCCACTGCTTGTGCTCTGTCTCTCTCTCTCAAAAATAAATAAGCTTAAAAAAAAGAAAGAAAGAAACCAGAAAGGAAGGATAAAGACTATCTACCAGAAATCTACAGTAGAAATTAGTGGGGAAATACAGAAGCGCTCCTGTTCAAGTCAGAAGTAAGACACTGGTAAGCTATTACTGCTGGCAGTCAACGTGGATCTGCAGTGAAAGCCAGTGCCACAAAGCAAAATAAACAACTATAAATATGGAAAAGTAAATTTTCTCGTTATTTATAGATTACTTGATTACCTAGAACCTCCAAGAAAATAAGCTGATAAGCTATTTGAACGGGTAGCAGGAGTGACCTGATTTTGAAAATCATCAGCTTTCCTGTGCAATAATCAACTAGAAAATATACTAGTAAAACGGTCCTATTTACAAGAACAAGAAATACTATTAAATTCCTAAGAATGAGTATGAGATACTCAGTCTCACTGTAATCTGGGAAATGCAAGCTAAAAATGAGGTGCCATTTTTGATTTGTCATATTAGCAAAGTAACGTCAAGTGTTGGAGAAGACTTGGGGTAATGCATGCCTTTATACCCAATTTCTGTGATGTAAACTCTCCCAGTAGCTTGTTCCAAGCTGCCAGCATGAACTGAATGTGGAGTTAGGAAGAGATGCACAAAAGCAGGGCATTGTATAGATTTGTACCATACAGATATAATGGACATAAATAAACTCAAGAGCATAGATTGAGGGGTGCATGGCTAGGTCCGTCAGAGGAGCATGTGACTCTTGATCTTGGGGTCGTGAGTTCAAGCCCCATGTTGGGTGTAGAGATTGCTTACATAAATAAATAAATAAATAAATAAATAAATAAATAAACTTTAAAAAAGGAGCACAGATTGATAATAAAATAGCTAAGAAGGTGATGATTTTTGAGTATTTATTATATGTTTGCAATATAATTTATTAAGAGTGCATAATTGAATTTTTTAATGATTTCTATGTTTAATGGCAGGATCACAAAATTCCTGGACATTTGATAATCATTTCTCATGAGCTGATCCAAGTCAGCTCTAGCACACAACTTCTCTCAGACTCTATGTCTTTGTTCCTCACAGTGTGATTTTTGACCAGCAGCATCTACAATTCTAGGGAACTTTCTAGACATGCAGAATGACAGAGCTCACCGCAAACCAATCAAATCATAATCTGCATGTTAACAAGATCCCTAGCTAGTCTGCATGCGAATTCAAGTTTGAGACACGTTGTTTTAAACTGCTGTGTGGTAGTAAAAAGCAATGAGGTCAGGGATACCTGGGTGGCTCAGTCGGTTAAGTGCCCGACTTCGGCTCAGGTCATGATCTCACGATTCGTGGGTTCGAGCCCTGCATCGGGCTCTGTGCTGACAGCTCGGAGCCTGGAGCCTGTTTCTTATTCTGTGTCTCCCTCTCTCTCTGCCCCTCCCCAGGTCATGCTGTCTGTCTTTGTCTCTCAAAAATAAATAAATGTAAAAAAATAAAAAATTTAAAAAAGGAATGAGGTCATGCTTGTCATGTATTATCATAGAAAAAATTTCTGAATATACTGAATGAAAAAAAGGCGATTTCCAGAACAACACGTACACGGCAAGAGCATTTAGGTAAAATTCACATAATGAGCTAAATGTCTAGATTTTATATGCATATACATGTAAGTGCGTGGAAACAGGTTTGGAGGGAGAATGGAATGGCATTAGTTAGGAAATGGGAGGGTCAAGGGGGGGACCTTAGCGATCCAAAAAAAGTTTCTGAGAATCATTCTTGCCCTCAGCCTGCTGAGAAAATCTTCCTGACTAGTCCTTAGCTGATGTTTACAATGCTACCATCATTCATTTCTGTTTGGCTGAACAACTTTTATCTTACTTTATTATTTTTTTAAATGTTTATTTATTTTTGAGAGAGAGAGAGAGAGAGAGAGAGAGAGAGAGAGAGAGAGCGCATGAGCAGGGGAGGAGCAGAGAGAATGGGAGACACAAAATCTGAAGCAGGCTCTGACAGCTGACAGACAGCTGACAGCTCAGAGCCTGACCCGGGGCTTGAACTCACCAATGAAGAGGTCATGACCTGAGTCCCACGAATGAAGAGGTCATGACTTGAGCCCAAGTCAGATGCTTAACCGACTAAGCCACCCAGGTGCCCCATTGGCTGAACAACTTTTAAAGAGCAAATACCTGGGGTGCCTGGGTGGCGCAGTTGGTTAAGCGTCCGACTTCAGCCAGGTCACAATCTCACGGTCTGTGAGTTCAAGCCCCACGTCAGGCTCTGGGCTGATGGCTCAGAGCCTGGAGCCTGTTTCCGATTCTGTGTCTCCCTCTCTCTCTGCCCCTCCCCTGTTCATGCTCTGTCTCTCTCTGTCCCAAAAATAAATAAACGTTGAAAAAAAAATTTAAATAAAGAGCAAATACCTGGAAGTTATCATAGCAATTAGTCACACACACTTCAGCGTGTGTCCATTGGTTATATGTATCCTTTCTGACCCCTCTGTTTGTGAGAGAAGCTTTCTAAGTAGTAATTTGTCACATAATTGTTAAGTCTGCTTTGAGATACAGAAGACCAAAGCAATGTAAGGGAGAAAAGGCGTGGTGTGTGTGTGTGTGTGTGTGTGTGTGTGTGTGTGTGTGTGTCTGTACTGTCCCTGTTTGCTAAAATGATCTTGATTTCCTGATTCTAAGACAGACCTGGGTGTCTCATTGATATCTTGGTTGTTTCAATGTATGAATAATTTGCTTCTGGGCATAATGATAGGAGCATACATAGGACACGGTACAATATGTCCTCTCACAGTGTTGTTGGAAGGACATTTTCGTTTCCAGCACAAGTCTTCTGCTCAAGTTCTGTTTTCCATGCAAGACTCAACGGATTAAGAACTACAAATCCCAGGATGCCTTGAGGTGAGTCGCTTCGGTAAGATTGAAATTTTCAACCAATTACGTTCTAGGAGGGAGGCTTTAAAAAGTATTTTGTATGGTTAAAAGAATGCAGCACCTCTATAGGTACTGATAGGGAACAATTTCCAAGATATACTAAGGGAAAAAACAAGGTGCAGAATAGCAGTTATGGTATGTTCTGTTTGTGTATAAACACAAACGCACATACACGCATTCTTATATGTTTTAAAGCAGTCACAAGAAAATAGTGACTCTGGGAAAGAGAAATTTTGGCTAAGGGTCTGTGGTAGGAGGAATGTTTCTTTTTTCCTATAAGTCCTTTTGTATGTTTTGAATTTTTTTCTACATACACATATTACCCACTTTTAAAATGAAATAAGTAAATTTAAAAAACAGATGGAAAGATGATCTTTAAGTACTTTTTGTGACCATCTTGTTTTCTTCTGTACCCTGATTGAGTTAGTGAGCAATTTGTTAGTTAACACTTAACCCTAAAATCTTCAGTTTAAAAATGCCCAGGTAATCGCCTCTGTGGCTCAGTCGGTTAAGCATCTGACTTTGGCTCAGGTCATGATCTTGCAGTCTTGTGAGTTCGAGCCCCGTGTCGGGCTCTGTGCTGACAGATCAGAGCTGGCGCCTGCTTCAGATTCTGTGTCTCCCTCTCTCTCCTCACCTCCCCCACTCACACTCTCTCTCTCTCTCTCTCTCTCTCAAAAATAAATAAACATTTAAAAATTTTTAAAAATACCCATGTAAAACTGTATTACTTCTTTTTATTTTTAAAAAATTTTTAATGTTTATTTTTGAGAGAGAGTGAGACAGAGCGTGAATGGGGAAGGGCCAGAGAGAGGGAGACACAGACTCTGAAGCAGGTTCCAGGCTCTGAGGTCAGCACAGAGCCTGATGTGGGGCTGGAACCATGAACCGTGAGAACATGACCTGAGCTGAGGTCGGACACCCAACCCACTGAGCCACCCAGGTGCCCCTGTATTACTTCTGATATAGAAATTGTGTCTACATTTGGAAGGAGGTGTGGATAGAATGTTTCTTTTGATGTTGATGATATTTAAACAAAAAATAGGGGCAACTGGGTGGCTCGATTGGTTTAAGTGTCCTAAGCATCTGACTTCTGATCTCGGCTCAGGTCATGATCTCACATGTGATCATGTTGAGTTTGAGCCCCACATCGGGTTCCAGCATAATTCACTCAGTTGTCTTAATCATGCCTGTGCCCTGCCACTGCATTTGCTTACTTGCCTGGCAAACACCCAGCCCTGACTGCACCGAGATCACCTGCTCCATGTCTGCATCTGGCACCTTGTAGAGATACAATAAATACCCAATGAATGAGATTAAAAAAAAATTATTCATTTTTAAAATTGGCCCCCAGAGAATACTCCCCAGCATTTAAAAGGAACAAAGTATTGAAAACTGCAACAACTTGATTGGATCTCATGGATGTTATGCTAAGCGGGGGAAAAAAAATGACCAAATTATAGGCATGGAGAGGGAATTAGTGGTTGCTACGGGACAGGCGTGATTCTAAAGGGGTAGCACAAGGAACATCTTTGTGGTGGCACAATGGTCCTGTATCTTGATTAGGGCAGTGGTTGCATGCCTCTACACATGTGATAAAATGAGGGTTGCCAGCTAACATACAGGACACCCAATTAAATTTGCATTTCAGATAAAGAATAATTTCTTAGTATAAGTATGTCCCAAATGTTGCATGGGATATACTTACACTAAAAAAAAAAAATTAACCGAGTATCCTGTATCTTTATTTGTCAAATCTGGCACTCCTAGGTAATAGGGCATAGAAATATACACACACCTTTTGCCAATGTCACTTGCCTGATTGTGATATTATCCTGTCGTTATGTAAGATGTGACCATTGAGAAAAGTGGGTTAAAGTTACACAGGCCCTCTCTGTGCTATTTTAGCAACCTCCTGTGAATGATAATTATTTCAAAATTAAAAAGTTTTTTAAATGGCCCTCGAAAGAAAACCAACGGCTCTTGTGGGTAATAAAAACAGAGCTAGAGGAAGCACAGGCTATTAACCAGCCAAGAAGTTTTATGGAGCATTGTAAAACTGGCACTTCACAAAGGTCTTAAGATGTATCCCCTTTCAAATGTCAATGATCTCATGTAGTTATTGACGGTATAACAAAGTGGTTGTGCACGGGGGCTTGGGATTACACATACCTGGGTTTAAGTTCTGGCCCCTCCATTGATTAGCTGTGAGCCTTGTTTGCCTGAAGGGCTGGAACCAGCTCACACCCCTATGTCTTTCCAACTCCACATTCAGTGACATCGGGCTGGTAGCTTGAAACCAACCCGGGAGTACTTACACTACCGAGATTTACAAACACTATGAATCAGGGCTTTTTTTTTTTTTTTTTTTTTTTTTTTTTAGTTTCAAAGAGCTTATTAACCATTTACCATCATACCATAGACTTTGAGCCTCAGTTTGCGCATCTGTAAAATGTGGAAAGACATCCGTAATGACTGCCTGATGTCAGGAAGAGTAAATGAGATCCTTGAATGAGACCCATCATGTTATGAGGGCTAAACAGTGCCTGTAGGGTGCTTATCATTAAGTGTATCAAATCGGCAGTGAACACTATATGTTACTATTTGTTCTTGTTTCTTTCATATTAAGCTGTGAGCAACTTGAGGGCACGGTTATGCCTTCCTTATCTTGATATCTTTAGCGACGGGCTCAGGGCCTGAAACACAGCAAGTGCTAAATAAATGTTCACTAAATTAAGGAGTAAATGGCATATAATAGCGACTCAAGGTTCTATACCTCCAGAAAATGTGCATTTTATCAGAGGCTTTTTGGGGCACACTTCTTGATCTTGAAACATGGAGATGTTCAGGCCCCGCGGCGGGCTTGCAGGGAGGGTTGAGGAGCACCCATACCCCCCAGGATGATGTCTGCTTTTGCAGGCCCGGCTCTGGCCACCAAGGCAGTGATCCTGGCATATACCCCCAGGTGACAGGGACAGGCTCTCACCTCTCCTTCCTCCCGGAGCCAAGATGGGGCATTTCTGGCTCTGAGCCTGTCTGACTAGAGGTCATTTAATCCTCGCTGGATTTGTCCTGTTTATTTTAGTGAACAGGGCTGTTTACTTTCTGTTTGTATTTCTAGGGGTGGCTTGCTCATTTTGCTTCCCTTTTATTTACTTTTTGCAAGCACTTGGGTTTGAGTAAATATGTCTATAAAGTTCCAGGGACTGGGTTATTCTGTGTCTGGTATTTTAATGGCTTTTAAACAGTGTCTGCTCAGGTAAGCATTTTATAGATGGATCGAAAAGATAGAGAATTCTTTTCTCAGTGGCCTCTGATTCCTTCCAAGCTGACAGCCAGCCACTAGCAGCCTATGAATCATGGCTTTTCATCAGTAATAAAAATATCAAAACCAACACCCATCTTGGACGGAGAAACTGACCCAGGCTGCTCAGCTGGACTGGGGAACTATAGTAGGTATTTAAACACCAGGGCAGTGCTTAGGGTAAAAATTACCTAGGGTGTTTTTGAAAATGCAGATTCATGAGCCCTATCCTCGAGAACTCTGCTTTGGAAGGTTTGGGCTGGGGCTCAGGAATGTGTGTTTTTATCTCATGCTGCAAATTCTATCCTTAGATCACCCTGAGAAACACAGTTCAGATTCTCAAAAATACTGCGGCCGACGGGGGAGCTGCCCTTAAGCTCAGTGCCTTGTGTGCCCACACAGAGAGAAACTGGGGGACCAGACAGGGATGTTTGTAATGATCCTATCAACAATTAGCACCCTCCGCCTCCAAAGCTAGCCAGGAGAGGACGAGGAGTATTATTCTGATAAGCCTCTTGCTTAAGGTCTAATTTGTCAGCAACTCGAGGGCAGGGGCCATATCTCCCGCATCTTATCACCCCCCACAGTGCCTAGGACAATGCTCGGCTTACAGGTTGGCGATCTGCTCTGGCTGGGACTCTCCCACCCAAGACAGACCTAGAAGGCAGGCCTGGTTACCTCAGGGTAGCTTGGGAGCCAGTTGTTGGCAATGGACGAGGCAGAGAGGCTGATCGCCATGGTCACCTGCTCACCTCCTCCTGAGCCGGGCCAGGTCTGTCATAGGCTGGATAGAGACCTGGGGGAGGGGGGAGGGCAGCGGGAGTCCCTACTGCCTCTTCTGCCAGCTCCTCCCCTCGCCTCTGCCCCTCTGCAGCAATTCACTGGGTCCTCAGTCCCTGTCCCCATAGGGCCCATTGTGACATCGTCAATGCAAGTTGAAACAGTAATGCCCTCACAGCGCCAAGCCTCAGGCTTGTCTAAACAATGACTCCTGACCTGGGCATGGGAGGGTCCTGTGTCCCGAGAAGCTACAAACAGACTTTCTTCTCTGCTTGAGGGATTCCGCTCTCATTCTCTCTCTGGTCCCCTTTGTTTCCCTTCCCAGGTCGGTGTGCTTAATTATTTCATTTTCACGTGTTTACTTGTTTATCCCATTTCCCGACCAGAAAGTCAGCTCCAGGAGGGCATGGCCCACATCTGCTTTTCACTGCTGAATCCCTGGTGCTCAGCACAGTGCCTGATACGCAGCAAATGCTCAACAAACACTTTGGGGGTGCACGAATGCATGAATGAGAGGCTTCGCTGGCTCCAGCCATCCGTCCATTTATTCACTCGACAGGCACGCTTTGTACATCTGTCGCGGATCTGGCTCTTGTCAACCCAAATAACTCCTTTTCTGCCCCAAGGAGCTCCCAGCCTGGTGGTGGGATGCTGGAGACGCATCCTTTGTGCAACGCGCCCTGACAAGGGCTATATCCAAGGTCTGCGGAGATGGGGTTGCAGGCAGGATCACGCTGTGGCAATGACAGGCACTTAAGCCAGAGAAATGGTATATGGTCTGGCAGGATTTCCCCAGCCTGAGTCAGGGGGCCCTAACTGCCCTGAGGCGTCTGCCTCTGCCTCTGCTGACAACCACGGCTGCTTGTTTCTGCTAATATTGCAGCAGGGTGCATCTATAGAAGCGATCTATAAAACACCATTTACAGCCATAACTAAACCACAAAAATCAATCCCCAACGCTCACTCCCATCAACAAACATGCTTGGAGGGCCCCTCCTGAGGGGGGGGTGGTGGCGCACAGCTTTAACGTGCCACAGGAGATACAGGGATGAATGAAGTGAAAGCTCTGACCCAGGGGGCTTCTAATCTTCCTGGGGAGACAGGACATGTGGGGAGGGGTGATTAGCCACGTGTAACAAAAGTGTGTATGCACGACCCCGTAGAGTAGCCACCGGCCATGTGTGGCTGCTGACCACTTGAAGTGGGGCTAGTCTGAATTGAGAGATGCTACACATAGAAAGCAATATACACATCAGCCTATGAAAAAATATATAATCTCAATTTTAAAATATTGATTACATGTTGAAATGGTAACATTTTGGAAGAGCTGCGTTAAAATACTATATTATTAAAATTAATCTCACCTGTTTCTTTTACTTTTTATTTATTTAAAAACATTTTTTTAAAAGGGGTCCCTGGGTGGCTCAGTCAGTAGAGCATCTGACTCTTGATTTCGGCTCAGGCTGTGATCCCAGGGTCGTGGGATCAAGCCCCGCGTGGGGCTCCGCGCTAAGTGCGGAGCCTGCTTGGGATTCTTTTTCTCTCTCTCTCTCTAATATAAATACAATGAAAAGAAATTAGAAACATGTTTTTAATGTCTATTTATTTTAAGTGACGGAGAGAGTGCAAGCAGGGGAAGGGGCAGAGAGAGAGGGAGAGAGAGGGTCCCAAGCAAGCTCCGTGCTGTCAGTGTGGAGCCGGACGTGGGGCTTGATCTCACGACCATGAGATCATGACCCGAACCAATATCGAGTGGGTGCTCAACTGACTGAACCATCCAGGCGCCCCTCTTACATTTTAAAAACGTGGCTGCTACAGGGTGTTAGTGCTCAGTTGGTTGAGCTTCTAACTCTTGGTATTGGCTCAGGTTATGATCTCACAGTCGTGAGATCAAGCCCCACATCCGGCTCCACACTGACCGCATGGAGCTTGCTTGAGACTCTCTCTGTCTCTCTCTCTGCCCCTTCCCCTACTTGTACTCTCTCTCGCTCGCTTGCTCAAAATACATAAATATAAAAAAAATTAAAATGTGACTGCTAGAACGTTTAAAATAATACCTGTGTGGCTCTCATTACGTTTCTATTAGGCTGGTCTAGGAGTGGAGGGGACCCAGCGGTGGACGGGTAGCCTGTGCTAGGACAGCTGGGAAGAATTCTGAGGAAGCGGAACAATTAGGAGCAAGCAAGAGGGTGGGAAGAGATGGGAAGACATTTGAGAAGCTTGATCACAAAGGAAGGAAGGAGGATGACAGCTCAGGGAGGCAACAGAGTCCTAGGAACAATGCACACATCACCCGGGCTCTTCCTCCCCCTCCTGTCATCTTCCCAAAAGACGAACCGTGGGTGCCTCCAGTCACCCTCCCATGCGTTAACTCTAGAATAAGGCTCTTTTCTCTCAGTCCTGGGCAATCCACAGTTGGCCACACGTGGCCAGTGATCTGGGTTTGGATACTGAGTATCAGGTAAGTAAAATCCCTATTCACGCCATCCATTGCAAGAGCGGCCCCCATTACCCCTCCCTGATTCCCGGCACAGGGAATCTGGGCCCTGGGCAGAGGGCAGTGATGGGGGAATGGAGGGAAGACCAGGGACACGGAGGCAGTTGGAGCTGGGGGTCTGGTCCGTGTTTGAGATGGGGAGGATTTCGCAGAGGAGCAGTGTGGCCCAGGAGGAGGAAGTCAGCCCCAAACCTGGCCAGGCAAAGCTTCCATTATGGACCTATTTCATCAGGGGAAATCAGGCAGCCTGGATCGGATAGTCCTGCCTCTTCCCTCCCACTCAGCCACATAGAGACGCTGTAAACACTCAAATGCAAGGATGAACTCTGCGTGTGGTGTCTGGGACATTGTGAACAACTCTTGGGGGCTGGGTTTGTGTCTGTGTTAGATTGATCTTTTTAACCCCAGCACCTAGGAATGAAGCTCGGTACACAGCCAGTGTTCAGTAAATACTGAAATATAAAGGAAGGAGGAGAGGGAGGGAAGAAGGAAGGGTGCATGAGTGAATAAATGACAAATCTGTGAAAGCACAGCAGCAGATACTTGGAATGGGCTATACTCGGTCTAGGCTAGATTTCTGGATGTGGGTGGCAGGAAGGTTTTCTCAAGGGCAAGATACCAGTGTCCCAGTTAGAGGAGAACTGATGCCCAGCACAAAGCATTCCACCATCCTACCTCCCTGCCACAGGGCTCTGGGCCCACAAGTTTTGAGACAGTGTATGTCCAGGCTCTAGCCCTTCCTGGGCTAAAGCTCTGTCCCTGGTGTCTTATCCTATTAAGTACTTCTTTAAAGCCCCTTAAAGCCTCTGTAAAAGGAAAGATAATGTGAAGAATTCCAGAAGGGTTGGATAAGCCTGGCGGGGGGGTGGGGGTGGGGGCTGAGTTCATTCCTGGGACAGCAAAGGAAGAGCGCCCCAAGCTCATCAGGGAGCCTGCAGTTTTCCCTTATGGCCACTGGAGGGCACTTCGATCCTGAAATACCAGCTCTTCACCGCCTGTCTTCGGAGAGAACCGTTTTTTAAATCATCCCAATAATGGTCGTTCTCCTGTGTTGAATAGCCAACACAGTGCCAACACCTTAAAATATATATATTATCTCACTTAATACTCACTATAATTGTGAGTCATCTTGGCTGTGTAGGAAAAACCGAGGCTTAACGAAGCAAAAGAATTTACTTAAGTTGGATCAGCTAAATATCATTTGGGGGGCGCCTGGGTGGCTCAGCCGGTTGAGCGTCCGACTTCGGCTCAGGTCATGATTTTACCGTTCGTGGGTTCGAGCCCCGCGTCAGGCTCTGTGCTGACAGCTCAGAGCCTGGAGCCTGTTTCAGATTCTGTGTCTCCCTCCCTCTCTGCTCCTCCCCTGCTCACACGCTGTCTGTCCCTCAAAAATAAATAAAGATTAAAAAATTAAAAAAATATATATATCATTTGGGAGTAAGAACTTGAATCCAAGCCCTTATCACCAATGATAATCAACAAATGTACAGGGGTGCCCAGCTGGCTCTGTGGGTAGTGTATGAGTCCCCAGGCTCTTGATCCCTGGGTTGGGAGCTCAAGCCCCACTGTGGGTGTAGAGGTTACTTTAAACAGAAATGAATGCACATGAAGCAGCAAAGGGGGCTGGCTGAGTAGGAGCGTAGAGAAGAATATGTTCTTCTCAACACAAATATTGTTACTGAACAATTTATACATATACAGAATTGGAAGATGGCTTACAATTTGTACATTTCATATGGTAATGTTTTTTTTCCCCCTGAAATGATGTTATTAAATAAATGGAGTGTTTCACAGTTCATGGGTGTCTTGAAGGAAATGGTCATTGTAATATAAGGCAGAAAAAGATAATTTTCATTTCATACTTAAATAGCACTTTACAACCTGCCCAGAACTGCTTTAAGCACTTTATTTACATAAAGTAACTCAATTAATCCTCAGAGCCACCCTCTGAGGTATGCACTGTTATGATCCCCATTTACAGACGAGGAAATAGGAGTCTCAGAGAGGGAAGCAATCTGCCCAAGGGCAGTAAGAGGCAGAGCTGGGATTAGGGACCCTGGCAGTCTGGAATCTGTACAGAATCTATAGTCTGGAATTTGGGAAATTAGGCTGGAGCTGGCCTGGAGAGGGGAGGGCTAAGAGTCCCTTGGGAAGGAATGCACTAGGGAGGTGAGGGTATTCCAGGCAAAGGGGAGAGCATTAGCAAAGGCCTAGAGGTGGGAAAGTGAGGTGAAGAGTCAGGATAGTCTGAGGCCGGTGGCTCTGTGTGGAGGCCAGATGGCAGAGGCCTGCGCAGTCAGAGCTTCCTTGGGCCTCCTAGAGGTGGGAAGAAGAGAGGCACTGCAGGGGTGCCTGGATGGAGTGGGGGTGCTCCAGTACGGGGTAGTGCTGAGGCCACCCTGCCCCCACCCCTCTCCAGGGACCGGCGTTGGGGAAGTGCACTCTGTGCTCAGGAAACGGTTGGATTGGATTACAGGGAAGATTAAAGGAGCTAAATTGGGCCTGGGGCTGGGGGAGGTGTCTGAGAAG